GGAGGAAGGAGGGAACGAAGCAGGGAGGAGAGGAGGAAGGAGGGAACAGGACAGAGAAGAGGAGGATGGAGGGAACGAAGCAGGGAGGAGAGGAGGATGGAGGGAACGGGACAGAGAAGAGGAGGATGGAGGGAATGAAGCAGGGAGAAGAGGAGGATGGAGGGAATGGGACAGAGAAGAGGAGGAAGGAGGGAAGGAAGCAGGGAGGAGAGGAGGATGGAGGGAACAGGAAATAGAAGAGGAGGATGGAGGGAACGAAGCAGGGAGGAGAGGAGGAAGGAGGGAACGGGACAGAGAAGAGGAGGATGGAGGGAACGGGACAGAGCAGAGGGGACAGAACAAGGCAGCGATAGGGGGGTGACACAGGGGTCCATGCCGCGGGCGGTGGGGGTGGGGGGTGCGGGATCTGCGCAGGCCGATTCGGGGAGATTCATGTCAGGGGGCGACAGGGCCAAGGAGAAACCAACCTGCGGGGGAGGGGAGATCCCCTGTCCCGCCCCAGCCCTGCCGGTGCCCCTCACTCCCGAGGCGCAGCCCCTGCTGCCCCTCCTGTCCTGCCGGTGCGCCTCACTCCCGACCCACAGCCCCTGCCCCCCCGTCCTGCCTGTGCCCCTCACTCCTAACCCGCAGCCCCTGCCCCCCCCAGCCCCGCCGGTGCCCCTCACTTCCGACTCACAGCCCCTGCCCCCCCGCCCCCCTCACCCTCGCCTGCGGAGCAGGGCTGGATTATGGCACAAATTGGCGGGAGATGAGAAACGCTCGTTACCGGCCAAGGGCCTGTTGGAGCAGCAGGTGCATCCCAGAGAGGGGAGCCCCCAGCTACTCCAGCTGGTTCCAGCAGGGGGCGCTGGGGGGGCAGGGCCTGGCTGGAGGGGGGCAAGGCCTGCAGTGGTTGGCCTTTCTCCTATGCCTGGCATCCCACAATGCACAAGGGCACTCATTTGCATCAAATTTGCATACAATAGTGAGCCCTGGGTATCTAAGCAGCTGCTCTGATCTTGTGCCATGTGCTGAAGGGATGGGGGAGGGGTGGATTGGAGGCTCCGCCCACTCATCTGCATATGCAAATATGCAACCCCCATCAGAGGGCCCAGGGCAGAGCTACTGTAAAAGCCTCAACATTCTCTTGCTCTCTTGTGTGTACGGATCGGGTGTGTCGGCTGCGTGTCTGTGTGTGTGCGTATGATGTATATCCATCGGGTGTGTCGGCTGCATGTGTGTGTGTCCTGTATATCCATCAGGTGTGTCGGCTGTGCGTGTGTGTCCTGTATATCCATCGGGTGTGTCGGCTGTGTGCGTGCGTGCGTGTGTGCGTGTGTATCGATCGGGTGTGTGTCATGTATATCCATTGGGTGTGTCGGCTGTGCGTGTGCATGTGTGTATCAATTGGGTGTGTGTCATGTATATCCATTGGGTGTGTCGGCTGTGCATATGCGTGTGTGTATCTATCAGGTGTGTGTCCTGTATATCCATCGGGTGTGTCGGCTGTGCGTGTGTATGTGTGTGTGTGTGTGTGTCGTGTATATCCATCGGGTGTGTCGTATGTGTGTTGTGTGTACGGATCGGGTGTGTCGGCTGTGTGTGTGTGTGTGCATCGATCGGGTGTGTGTCATGTATATCCATCGG